CTAATTTAAAATCCCATCAACTCATCCACAGTGGAGTCAAAGCGTTCAGCTGTGATCAGTGTGGGAAGAGTTTTACTCTGAAAGCTCGTTTAAAATCCCATCAACTTACCCACAGGGAAGGTAAACCATTCAGCTGTGACCAGTGTGTGAAAACCTTTGGTGAACATGAACTGTTGATCCTTCGATGCCCCCACTCTGGAATGAAGATGTACCACTGTGACTGTTGTGGAAAAGTTTTCAAAAACCAACTGAGCCTAAAACGTCATCGACGCATCCACACTGGACAAGATGTTTATGTATGCGATCACTGTGGTGAAACATTTGTACAGTACGGACACTTAAAAGCCCATGAAGTTACCCACACCGGGGTTAAACCGTACCATTGTGACCAATGTGGGAAAGGCTTCAGCTACACGTCCTCCCTAAAGGTTCACCAACGTGTCCACACTAGGGAGACACCATACAGCTGTGACCAGTGTAGCAAGACTTTTAGTACTTCAGGTTCCCTGAAACAACACCAACGGATCCACACCAGGAAGCAGCGCCACAGCGAGGTTTGTAAAGACTGGTGTCAGTAACGCTGTACACATTATTCTACATTTGGATGTTTCACTGTGCATAGAAATTTAGTGTCAAACTGTTTTGAATAACTGGTCAGACCGATGAGCACATTATGAGCTGTCGTTCAGTCTAACCGGTACTGACTGTGAGCCAGAAATCTGGTCCAGTTTTATCGAGGAATGTAGCTACGACTGGGAATTCTGGCGTGATCGGTATCAGCACAAACCTGTTCTCAACACTTTTTAAACACATAAATGTGAAAAGACATCACAACAGTGTTAAATATTCTATCAGGATTTTGCACGTCTATTCTATATGAATCCAGCTTAATTCATCACTTCTTTGCTGGCGTCGTGTCGATCAGCCTCATGCAAGTCTCTGTCTCAGTGCTCCTTTACTGGCTAAGGTTACACAAGGCTCTGTGCTTTCCAGCACAGAACAGTCTTGATGCTCTGGTGAGAAGCTCCACCTTGTGGTTTAACTAGGGACTGCAGTTCATCTGCAACTTGAATCCGCTTGTATAATCCAGGGATATGACATCAGCAGATAATAAATATTAACCGACTCACCTCAGATCGTGAGCCAAAAGTTCTTGTTTGGGACATCCCTAGTTTAAACCCCTGCAGCTCTTTGTATACGAGTTAAATTTCCTGGACAGTCAGACAACTGAGTGTTAACTTTCAAGAGGTATGAACATGCTCAGATGTTGGTAGAGGTTGTGTTTCAGGCAAGCCATCCATTCTTCAGTGCTGCATGAAACCTTGACTATCTCTGTGTGTGTTTGTATTTGAAGCAGAGCGGCACAGATGGACAAACCTCTCAGACTTGTCAGCACTCCGCCAGTGGTGAACAGTGCTGTTGTGACCAGTGTGGACGAGCTTCCTACCAACAAGGAACCCTCCAGAGACACCAGTGTATGCACACTGGACACAGACTGAACCCCTGCAAAGAACATTTCCCCAAGCGGAGTTCAGTGAAAGTTCATGAAGACACCCACAACCTTAAAATTCTTGAGATCAGGCTTCACAGAATTCAGGTTTAATGTCTTGGTTATTTATTTCTTAATTTGTTTATTTAGACGGGACAGTGTGTATTTATGAACATCCAATCTCAGGTTGCAGTAAATACGCCGGATGTAGCACAAGGCTAATTACCATCCAGTGTCCCACACACATTAAAGACAAACACACGTGGATACAGATGTAGAAAAGAGCAGAGGAAAAAAAGAAATGAATAATAATAATAAAATAAATAAAAACAACACTAGTAAAAGACAGACAGTGGCGATTAGATCGAGTCAGACTTAGTTGTACCGACCCTAAAGTGTTGTTGTGTCTGTAAAAGTCTTTTCAGGCACAGCCTGTCACAAAGTGCCTGTTTTTGAAGTGCCTGATTTTCTCAATGTTCACACGCTTGATTGTTGATCAGCCATGTCGTCTTTTAAAACTGACAAAGTTATGGGGCGCCGCTATAGCTCACCTGGTTTGAGCTGGCGTCCCATGTGTAGGGCTACAGTCCCAATGTGGAGGTCATGAGTTCGAATCCCGCTCATGACCCTTTCCCACATGTCTTCTCCCCTACTTTCCTGTCTCTGTCTGACCACACTATCCAATAAAATAACTTAAAAAAAAAAAAAAAAACTGACAAAGGTGGAGCGTTCTCTGATGGCTATAGTTAAAATAGATTTTAATAGATACGACATGCTGTGCAAAGGAGGACTTTTGAAATTGTACTTCACAGTCACCCCTGGTGGCTGACCTTGTCCTAGTGATACTGTAGGAGCCTAAATCTATTTCTTTTGGTTTTGGATTTGGTTCTTATTTTGCCATGATTATTTCTATTTGGTTTTGATTTGTTGTTCTACTTCCTGATATGATTTGTGGTCATTTTGATATAGATTATGGTTAACATTTTCATTTTGCTAAATTTATCTGTTATTTGGTTAAATGTTGTTCATCATGTTTTCGGGAGATTGAATTCTGTGTCAATGTGGTGTTTTGGTTTATTGATTTATTTTGACTCGCTATATTTGGGTCGCTTAAATTTGCAAGGGTTCTTGGGAAAAGGCTGATGGCATGGAGCCAAACAGTTTCTTGACCACACATTGTCTCCTCGTTTTTTCCACTGTATGTTTCCGTCTGCAAAGTTTGTCTGTGCACTAAAGAATCTGTTTTAAGCCTCAACTTGGTCTCAGCTGGATTTTTCATCGTTGGAGTAGACCCAGCAAGGTGCATACAATGTGGATTTTGGAAATGCTACGGGGGAGCAGTGAGTCAAGCCGGGCTTCATGAGCTTCAGATCATACAGATACCATTTTTCTTTTTGATAAAATCCCCCAGGGGCAGTGGGGCCATGCCATTCACAGACTTCTAGATTAAGCACGCACTTTTAGTTAATGTTGCGGAATCTGTCTGTTTCTGTTTTCTGATGAGGTTTCTTTAATTCCTGAGATTTGAACAACAAAGCAAGAGTAAAGGCTCCAGAGAGACTGTTTATACAACAGCTGTGGTCTGTTCTTCACCAGTTAAAGGTTAATGGGAGACAAGGAGAAAGAGATTGTTGACAAAAGCTTATGTTCAATCTGGACTAGAGTTCACCAGAAGACATGTGGAGACTCTGAAGTCACCTGGAAGAAGCTTTACCTCAAAATATCAAATTCTTTCTTTGACTTTTAAGAAAACCAAACTGTCTTTTGGTCCACTTTCAGCAGGTTTTTTGCACACTGAACTTTGGGGCTGTTTGAACAGCAACATCTCAGAAACTAATAAAATCACCTGAAAGTTTTTACTGCTGTTTGTTACCATGACGTTGAGTCACAATATGCAGGGTTGTACAACTTGTCATATCTGCTCAGTCAGTTCTGAAAGTTAAACAAAAATAACTTTCTTTTTTTCTTCTACTTTCATGCGACATGCAGCTACACGTGGTTTAGAGCAGTGGTTCTCAACCTTTTTCAGTCGCGACCCCCAATCTAACATGCACTGCTGTCCGCTCAGTGTTTAATTTTAAACATCGATGTTTCTGAGAGCAAAATAACTACTTCCTGGTCAAAAGCTGAGATGTTTTTCTACAGCTGTTTAATGTGATGCTGGGCCTGCTTGTCTGAACAGAGCAGCTGCATTCTTGGCTTTATGTTCGGCTACGCGGAGATCACTCTCAACTCTGAGGAGTCCTGATCTGTATTTGTTTTTCATGTGTGTCAGCGCAGAAAAGGTCTTTTCACACAGATATGTGGATGCAAATGGAAACAGTACATCGGTTGCAGCTTTTGACGGTGCTGCGTACTCTGTTGCTACTGACAACCAGAACTCTTCCAGCGCGCATGCGGAGAAAGCAGTCTGTAAGATCCAGCAGGGCGTCCTGCAGCTCTGGTGACAGGTGATGCGCGGTGAAGCTGGTGAAAGGCTGGCGTATCCAGGCGCACTTTTCCAGCGTGCCATCATTCGGGAAGTACTTATTGAAACTTTCAATGCTGTTTTTTGTTGTGCAGGAAACGCCATATTTCAAAAAAGTCGGGCTGATGTTTACGGAGCCTCAAACCTTTATCAGCCGCCGGTGTCGTAGTCGTGCCCTGCTTTTCTCAGGTTCTGGTGGCTGATCTTGGGACCCCTGCTGCTGCTGACTGTCTGGAATGCTTCCACCAGGCCCAGGCTCGAAGCAGCACTCAAATGCCACCAATCCTGTTGACTCCCTGTAAATACCTGTGTTTTGTGTGGGCTATGCAACTGAGACTTTAAAAAACAAACAAACAAACAAAAAAACCCAACAACAACCAAAAAACTAATTTAAGTCCAGGTCAGTTTGCAGCACAAGTCGGAGCTGTGGCGTCCAGGCAGAGAGCAGCAGATGGCAAAAGTCCTGGAGCTTTGCTCTCAGGCCACTATGGCTCTGAAGGTCTGTGAACTCCACGTGAAGAAGATGCCGTGGACGTGGGCGGTGGGAGGATTGGTGAAGATGCCAAAGTGTGGCTGCTGAGTTCTGCAGTCAGAGAAGCTCCCATCAAATGCATCCACTAACCGGTTGGTTCTGGAGCGCTGGGATCTGAGGCCCATGTTCTGACAGGAAACAAGGAAACATTGTCCTGCTCCAGTTGGACCTCCACAGACGCAGTTTATGCTGAAGGCTGTGATGGTGTCGGACGTTCTGTTCTGACCCATCTGGCTCAGTTGGACCGGATGCTCCGTTCTGTCACACAGCCAGTTTGGACTTGATGCTTCCGGCAGAGTTTTCCTTCACGTTGCAGGAAAAGAGCAGATGGTCCCCTCAGCTAAGAAGCGTTTGAGGACGGCGCTCCTCCTCAGCCACCTTCCTTCAGGATGCTCTGGAACATCTGTCTGCTCTGAGCCCACCTCCTGAAAACAGCTGGAGCTGATAGGGGTCACTGTTGTCCTGACTGAGGTCATCATATCATCCGCTTCCAAAACCTTCCACACGGAGCTTCTTGGTGGACGATGCTGCGTTTGCTTTGAAGAACAACTCTGACTGATGTTTGCTTGATGTTCAGTTGTTCTGTCTTTCAGGACCATATTAGCTGTAAATCACAAAACAGACTGTGTGTGTGAATATTAACAGGAAGGGAAAATGCTTTTCATTCTTGACCACATTTTCATCTCAACCTTCCCCAAGACTGTGGCAAAGGTCTCCAGATGACTCAGTGCTGCTCATGAAGCCTAAAGATCACCTCCACCAACGTTTAAAGTCATATTCATGTGTTCACATTCACTAATTATCTGTTCTTTCTGTGTTTCCACTAAAAAGTGAACTAACTTTGTTCAAAGCTCTTTAAATGTGATCAGTTCTTCCTCCCTGATTGAAACGTTCTTACTTCATGAATTTCCATCTATGTTTCCTCTCAGAAGCTTCACTGCTGGACAGAGGATCTGTTCTACTTCACTGAAAAGTCCATTGTCATTGTTTGCTCACTGGAGGTTTCAAGTTTCCACATCACACTTGTGTACGCTTTAACTCGACCACGACTGACTCCAGAATCCAGTGTTGTGCCCTTAAATCGTGCAGGTACATTCAGGTGAGCTCAGAGAAACTTTCTGTCAACAACTTTCTTTGAGTTTTAACAAATCACTGCATTTACATGGAGTTTTATTGAACTTGTGACCTTTTATATATTCGCCAGTTCTGCTCCGTTTCCTGTCAGCTGCTATCCCACAATGCTTTGAGAGACAATGAGGAGGATCCCACTGATGTGGCCTCCTGGTCCCAGTGGATCCTCACCAAGGATGTGATGTGGAGCTGAGATGAGCAGAGATTCATACAGATATCACAGGAATGGATCAGATTCTATCCAACAACGTCACTCTGGTCTTGCAGTTTGTTGTATTTTCTGTGATTTTCTTCTTGTGTTTTGTTATCAGTAAAATCTCCTTCCAGAGGTTCTGAGCATCTGATGGAGTTTCTCATCAGTGGAGGCTCTGAGGTGGATCTAAGTGTCTGTCTGATATGCTGTCCAGTCTGCATGTGTCTGTGCACGATGCTGTGGATGTGAATGACTTGTTTTACTGTCTCTGTCTTCCCTGTTCAAGCACTTTAAATGTAGTTTGTCCTTTAAATGTTCAGTTAGTTTGAAGAAAACATTGAAACTGTGGCTGCGTTCCAATATTTCCATATAAAACATGACACCAGAAGCACATTTAGTTTGTCCTGATCCTCAGTCTGCTGGATGCAGTTTGCCAAACATACCAGGATGTCCGACTGCATGTGGTGGGATTTGAGTTGTGCAGCCAGCATGCTTTTCTGGCCATTCTGACCCACAATTCTCTGCACAGTTACACCACAAACATCACACGAGCATCAAGCAGCTCAGAGAGCGCTCAAACAGACGACAGCCCGTTTCACACAACAGACTGCGACGGTCACAGCTGGAGTCACTGTTAGCTGTGTCCCTGCTGCATGAAACAATCAGCAGTTTGTGAGGGCAGCTGGAGTTCAGACGTGACGTAAAAAGACAAAGGAAGTGATCTGGAACGCAGCACATGTTCACAACACAATGCATACAGAAGTCCATGCGGTTAAGACTTGATATGTGCGAAGTTCACTTTCAGAGTTGTGCACATTCTCAGATTTATGTTAATATGTTCAGAGCACGCTGCAGTTTCTGAGTCTGACTGATAGACTGTTACAAGACGAGACCATTCACAGTCCAGAGATGTTGAACATGAACTCTCCTCGGAGCTGTTAGACTCATTACTGTAGTGAATAGTTGGTTTCCAGCACTCAGCCTCCCACTGACTTCCTGACTGGTTGAAGAACTTGTAAACGTCTTCCTACAGCAGAGCTTCATCCAGGTGTCCCACCTGTGCTGCAGACAGGATCAATGTAGGGTGGAGACAGAGCTGCCGGAGTGACACCTGAGACTTTCAGGGAGCAGATGAAGACTGTTTGGATTCTCGACCTTCTCATGTTGGCTTTATGGTGAATCCCTGCACAAGTGTTGAGCTGCATCTTTCCTACGGAGCTGTTTAAAGGATCAGCTTCAGCTGGTGGTGTGAATCTGCA